ATTGTTGATTCATCATTGGGTTTCCAATACTCTAAATCACACAGGAGATTTTCTTTCTCCTGTGGAGCACGGGTGGATTCAAACCACCGGAAATGAATGTTTGGATTTGCATCTTGAGTCTTTATTAATTATACCATCAAGACTTCCTATTGAATGTATATCATATCAATTTCTCATCAATTTATTATCCATATTTTAATCTATATGGTCATGCTTTAACAATTATTTTGTTTTTGCTTAGTTTAATAAAATAATACTCTTTATTATTTTCTAAATAATTATTTTGTTAATAATTTTTCAAAGCCTTGTCTTTTAATAACAAATAATCACCTTTATTTTCATATTATGTTTGTTGTAAGCTATTGCTAAATTTTAATCTTTTTTCTGCGAAGTAGATTTCTAATATGCTTATTTTAAAATATTGACCAATAGGCTAAGTTGATTTCATTTAATGAAAACAATATTTTATTTAATTTTTAATGAAAAATATTTTCTTTAATTTGGGACATCCTTCCAATATTAACTAAACTATCTTTGAGATGTGAATATTTGAATGCATTTCTTTCATTCTGTTAACAAATACCTGTTAATTGAAACAGTGCACAACCATGATGCGCTAGTCAATGGAATTACCTCTACCTTCACAATGCTTACCTCTAATGAGAGGTATATGAAAGAAACCATGTTTTAGAATTCAAAAGACTGACTTTAATCATAGTGGCTAATACCAGCACCATCATCTAACTCAGAAATGGAGTGGATTGATAATTCAAGTAGATTTTTTATCAAAGTAATGTGCAAACTAAAGAGTATTAAAGGGAATATTATAGAAGACTGTGGGTAAACAATTAAAATTTCATGCTGATTATGTGGCTGAAAAGTAATAAAAATGACAATTTGTATGAAGTTAAAGTCCATCTGGGCAACCTGAATACTTCATTCATTAGAGTAACCATTTACAATAATTAAGTATTTAATTCTTTACTAAATTTTAAAACAACTATTTCTATTCTTGAGAGTTATTATAAATAATATAAAGTCAATCAAGAAATTTAGTAAGACTTTTTTGTTTAATTTATTTAGCCAATTTGCAAATTTATTTGACTTCAGTGATCCTAAAACTCACAGATACTTTGAGAAATTCTAGGCACATTATTGTATGTTATTGATGTGTGCAGTGGAGTGGGACCCTACAGGCGGTTTTCTGAGAAAGTAAACTACCTGGGAAGAAATTGCCCACTTAGCCACCAGAGCTTAGTATTGCATCTACATCACACAGTTTTTACAACATGTAGTTTTCAAGACTATTACTCACAACTGAACCAATAAGAAATTCAAGGTATTTGGGGAAAATGTTGAAATTGTCAAGGATTGTATTAGGTCTATAATCAACAGCTATAAACAAAGCAAGGGTTGCATAGGGAAGGACATATCTGACCTTTACCAATATTATAAAGGAGACTGTCCCTGCCACCAAAATCAACAAAACAGAGCCAGACATGTCAGAGGTCCTATGTTCCCACACCTCTTTCTATTGATTCCAACTCTGATGCCAAAGCTCACAGACCACACAGAACCATATTAGTAAAAAAGAAAAAAAAAAGCTGTAATTCGGGTTAGTAGCAGAATACTGTCACTAAGTCAGGACAACTTCCAAAATACGTTTGCAGGCACTTCAGCATCCTTGAGTATCTATGTTTTAGGCCATAGAGCTAAAAGCTCTAAGTCCTGCCAATTATGCAATTATGGTTCCCTTTCAAACTCCAAGTTGTCAAAAAAAAAAAACAACTGGGGCGAAGAATCTTTATTCTGGTTCCATAAGGTAGCAGTTTCAGAATCTGTCTCACATCAGATCTCTGATTCTTTGCTTCCGCTGCTATGGCTGCTCTTCCTATAGGGCCTGTTCTGGCTGGCACAAGAATCTCTGGCCCCAAAGCATGGGTTGCATTCTCTTGTTGTGTCTTTTATGGGGAGGTTCTCAAATTCTGCTGCTGGATCCACTCAATTGAATGGCGAGATTAGGCAATTCCTTTGTGGATGGTGAGACCAGCTATTACCTTGTGGACAGACTAACATACATTAATTTCATATCTAACCCATTCACATGGCAATGTCAGAACATGAATAGGGAGTCATTTTGAATAACAACCCTTTAACACCACAACAGCATACTAACAGTAATAAAGAATTAAGAAAAATTGAGGCTTCACCACCTATTCTTTGTTGCCCAACTTTTGTTCCATGTCTTACGTCTTTATTCCTCTACTAGCTCTTTATTTCATGTAAATAACCTACTTATTCTGGAAAACATGCTTCATTGCAAACTTAAAAACAAAACAAAACAACAAAATAAAAACAACTAAAATAAAGTAATATTTAACTATTTCAAAACTGAAGGTTAGTGAGGTGGGGAGGAAGTACAAAGCTTTCATTATACTCTTGAAGAAAATGTTAAATTTTCCTTTATTATATTGGCCATGAATAACTTTTAGTCTTCGGTCTAATTTTTCTTCTATCCTACTTTTTTGTACTGTAATGTAATGAAGTCAGTATTTCCAAATATTGTTTTATTTCTTCTCTATTTGAATTAAATATTTTGTTTGAAACTGAATATTGTTGATGTTTATACAATTTCTGATTCTTGAGAGATGATCCATTAGAACAGCCACTCACTCATTCACTTTCTTTCAGGAATTTCCAATCCATCCATACCTAATCCTCCATCAGGTCTTGAGGCTGTAAATTCCAAAAGGAGACTGCTCATCTCTCTTGAGAGGATCTAATATAAGGTTTCAATCACCAGAAGCACTTTATCTTCAGGTAAACAACAAAACTCACTATGGACTTCACTACCACAGCTTTCTCAAAACTCAAACTCATTGTAGCTACATCAGAATTAACTCAGCTGATCCTCCAGTGGGTTTTCAAGACTATGAATCACTTCGTAGGAGATTGCTCATCTTTCTCCTGTGGAGTTCCTGGTGTATTCATATCACCAGAAGGGCATGGTCTGGGGATTAGCAATGCAACTCTCTAGGGAGTAAGTCACTATAGAAATTTATTATTTATGTGATTCATGTGAACTTCAGCAGCATCTCGTTTCACAGATGGGCAAAAATTGTATCCTTGTTGCTGTTAGATGCTGTCAAGTGAAGCAACATCAAGTAGAGTGACAACTCACAGCAATCCTGTGGACAGCCGATCAGAACCCTACCCTATCCTGTGACATTTTCATCATCTCTGACATACTAGAGCCCATTGCTGAAGTAATTGTATTTTATTGGAAGTCTTTCTCTTCTTTACTGACCCTCTACTTTCCAAGCATGATGTCCCTTGTATAGCTACATGCCTAAAGTATGAAAAAAGAAGCTTTACCGTCTTTGCTTCCAAGGAACACTCTAGCTGCAGTTTTCCCAAGACACATTAGTTTGTTCTTTTGTTAGTCCATGGGCTATTCTGTACTCATCTCTAACTCTACAAATCAAAGGCATCAGCTCTTCTGTTATCCTTATTCATTGTCCAGCTTTCTGATTCATAGGTGATGGTTGAGGCGACCATGGTTTGAATCAGGTGTACGTTGGTCTTCAAACTGACATCATTATCCCTAACTTGTATCAAAGATGGTGATTGTGATTCAAGAAAGATCAAATAATTGACAGCTTCAATCCTTTCTTTCTTTGTCACAATGTTGATTGTTAGTCCTGTAGTGAGTACCTTTGTTTTCTTGACATTAAGATGCAGTCCATACTCACAGGTGTTTTCTTTGATCTTCTGCATTAAGCATTTCTTATCAGCAAAGTTGTGTCATCTGCATAATGCAGGTTGTTGATGAAACTTCCTCCAATCTTGATCCCACACCCTATATGTTCAGCTTTGTGAACAAGTGCTCAGCATAGAGATTGAATAGGTATGCAAAAAGGATACAACCCTGGCACACATCCTTCCTGATTTTAAACCATGCAGTGTTCCCTTGTTCTGTTCAGGCAACAGTGTTTTTGTTTCATCCATAAGAGCACAATTAAATGTTTTCAGATTCTCATTCTTCTCAATGTTAGCCATATTCTTTTTTATTATCCAGACAGGGTAATGCCTTTGTATAGCCAATAAAACACAAATAGACATTCTTCTGCTATTCTTTGCCTTCAGCCAGTATCTATCTGACATCAGCAATGATATCCCTGGTGCCACAGCATCTTCACGTACCAGTTTGAACTTCTGGTAGTTCACTGTCACTGTATATTGTTCTAGCTATTTTTTAAATTATATTCAACAATATTTTGCTTGCATGAGATATTAATGATGTTGTTGAATAATTTCCACAATCTGTTGGATCATCTGTCTTGGGAATGGGGAATTTTTCATAAAGAAAGGCTTGGTCACTGGGTTGCCTTTAAACTATGCTAACTATAATATAATAAATCTAAGTTGTCATGTTTATCACATGAATTTCTATTTACATTTTAACACAAAGGACAAGAAAATTTTTATAAAGTTGTATAACAATTTTTCCTACATAATTTATACACATTAACCTTTTAAACTATTTTTTTAACAAAGCCTACATCCTTCTGCAGGTTTTTAATTCCTCTTAGCTATTTGTATTTAACATTGTCTTTACTTAGATTATATTTTAAGACTAATAAATAGTAAAAAATTCCTGATGTTACTTATGAAAATAATATTTTAAAACTCATTTCAACTTTATATCTCAAAACATTGTAATAGATATGTATGTAATAAAATGTTCAACAGTTCAGCCATCTTCACTTTGTACTCTTTTGTTACGTTAGTTATGTCCACTGTGATGTTCAAACATTCCCCTAACTTGTTCCTCTATGATGCTTTCTTACAGTCTATATTCATGGCTTCTCTCTCTCCCACATAACAGCCTCAAATAATCTGGGAGAAAAAAGAGCCAATCCACCATTTGGAGTAGAGGATATTATTTAGAAATGTCAATTATCTATTGATGGTAAAATTTGTGACTCTCATATTTTTAGAGAGTTCTGAGGGCTTATTCTGTAGGTAGTTGCACTGCAAAAACAAAGACTATACTTCTTCTATTGGTTCAAATCCACCAGCAACTTTCTGCACTATCCACAGAAGGATATCCATATGTTGTCCTGGTTCCTGTTGGAAACCTCCACAAGTCTGGAGTCTTTGATGTCTTGAAGATGAAGGAGAAAGATGTTCTCAAATTCCTTGAAGCAGGACAACACTTCGGTCACACCAACCTTGACTTCCAAATAGAAGAGTACATCTACAAAAGGAAAAGTGATGGCATCTGCATCATAAACCTGAAGAAGACCTGGGAGAAACTTCTATTGGCAGCTCAGGCCATGGTTGCAGTTGAAAATCCAGTTGATTTTCATGTCAGATCCTCCAGAAATACTGGCCAGAGGCCTGTACTGAAGCTTGCTGCTGCTGCTGCTGCTGCTGCTGCTGCTGCTGCTACTGGAGCCTCTCTTAATGCAGGGTGTTTCATTCCTGACACCTTCATTAACCAGACTGAAGCAGCTTTTCAGAAGCTTCATCTTCTGGTGTTTACTGATGCCAGAACTTACCATCAGTCTCTTACAGAAGCCTCTTACATTAACTTGCCCAGCATTGCCCTGTGTAACACAGATTCACTTCTGCACTATGTGGATATCACTATCCCATACAACAACAAAAGAACTCACTCTGTGGGTCTGCTGTGGTGGATGCTGACCCAGAACGTCCTGCACATGCGTGACAGAATCTCCCTGAAGCACCCCTGGCAGGTCATGCCTGATCTATACCTTCAGAGAAACAGAAAAGGAAAGGCAAGCTGCTACTGCAAAGGCTGTGAGCATAGAGGAGATCAGGGAGAATGGATAGTCCCTGCTCCTGAATTTACTGCTGCTCAACCTGTGGTTGCAGATGGATCCGAAGGCCTACTGAAGGCTGGAGTGCTCAGCATGCAACTGAAGAGTAGTCCAACAAGTTTCTTAAAAACAAAACAAAACAAAACAACAGATTCACCAGCAACTCTGTGGGAGAAAGATGGGAAATAGCTTGTGTAATTTACAATCTCCAAACCAAATAGGTGGTCAGCTAAGAGTTAATTCTGTTACAATGGCAATGATAGAGAAAAACTTTAATATGGACAAGCCTTCATTATACTTGTTTTTGTTTTATACATTTGAGTCCAAACGTAATCCATAGCTGACTGTTCAGTGGATTTTCAGAGGCATTAAACCACACAATAGCAGATTGCTCAACTTTCTCCCATGGAGGAAATGGTGGATTTGAAACAGGTACCTATGAGTTTGCAGGACAATTCCTTACCATTAAGCAATCAATAAACACTTCATTATAGTAAAGGATTTAATAAAGGTAAGTGAATAAATAAAGTGAAAGTAGGCTAAATCAAAAGTATAAACTGAATGGAGGATAAATATTTGGCTTCAACTGTATTTTAATTGCTTTCTTTTCCTTTGTTTTTCTATAGCCAAGATTCTTCAAACAGAAAAGAGTTTAATAATTTATTTTAGGTTTTACAAAGTGATATTTCTTTTTTTGTTGTTGTTGTTGCTGTTATTGTTATGTGTCATGAAATTGGTGTGACTCAGCAACCTTATATATAATAACTGAATGCTGCTTATTCCTGAGCCAGTCTCACTGACTCAGATACATCTAATCCTACTAACCCAGTTTCTATGTCAATCCATCACATTCTGAGTCTTCCCCTCCTGCACTGTCCCTTTACTTTTCAAAGCATGATGTCATTTCTCCAAGAAATGGTCTCTCCTGGCCAAAGTTTGTGAGATGGAGCTTCAAAATCCTTGCCTCCAAGGAGAACCATGGTTTCGCCCCTTTCCAAATAGATTTTATTGTTCCCCTGGTGGTCTGTGGTATGTTCAAAACTGTACTCCAGCACTAAACTCAAAACATCAATTCTTATGTCATCTTTAGTCATTATACAGCTCTCTGATGCATAGCAAGTAACTACAAAGATCGTGGCCTGTATCAGCACACCTCTAGTCTCTAGATGGACATCTTTGTTATTTAGCACATTGGAGAGGTCCTTAAGATCAGACTTCTCCAATACAACTGGTCTATTGATTTCCTAACTTCTGGTGTTGATTGTGGAGCCGAGGAAGATGAAATTATTAACAACCTCAATCTCTTCTCCATTTATCATGTTGCTGCCAATTAGTCCAATGGTGAGAATCTTCTTGATGCTGTTTTTAGTTACCTTTAATTTTGACTCAAGAAAACTCTTTGTATGCAGAGTAAAATTGTTATATAGTATTTCCAAGGATTCTTACATGGACTCAGAATCAGATCAACAGAGCTCTGTTGTAGGGAACATAGCTATCTATGCTATCAATAATAATACATACTTGATAATTTTAGGCACAATATGTGTTAAGGACTTTCATTCGTAGGGTCACTATAGTCATCTATAATTCAACATCACTTGACAACAACAACAACAACAAACACTATATAATTTTTGTGTCTTTTTCATTATTAACAGACATGTGTTCTCATTTTGTGTATAAGTGAAAATAATAATAACTATGTCATTATTTTTGTATAATTGTTGTTCTGTGCTATCAAGTCAGAACTGACTTACAGCTGACTCTTCAGAAGGTTTTCAGAGGCAGTAAATGGCATTGGAGGAGATAGCCCACGCTTCTCCCCAGGACCTAGTTTCAAATCACATGCCTGTGGGTTTGCAACACAGATTCTTACCACTAGGCTACCAGAACTCCCACTCTTTATTTTTAGTTTACTCTTGTGTAATATTAAGCCAAAATGTTAGAACAAAATGTGATTAAATAAATACATTTTGGCTACAAATTTATTTATATCTTTCCTTTTAAGATTTATCACATTTATACTCAGTGAAGAAAGAAATTAATTAAATTAAGGTAATTAAATACATTTATTTATCTAGATAATTCTAAAGGCATTGACAACCTTAGAAAAACTAAACTTCAATTATATCAGTTTTTCAGAAAATAGTACAAATAATAACAAAGCAAATGAGTAAAAAGGACACACATAAGAACTGTATTCATCTCATGCAAACTGAATAAGGAGAGAAGGAAATAAATCTAAGATTTGAAATTTAAATCACTATTGTTTTTTCTATTGTTACTGCTTCTTGAGATTCTATATTGTTTATATTATATAATGTTTCAATTTAATTAGATTTAAGTATCATGTTGTTGTTGTTGTTATGTGCCAGTGAGTGAGTTGCCTGCAACTCATAGTGATCCAATGTACAACAGCTCTGAAACCTGCCTTGTCCTGAGACAGTCTCACTGATTCTGACACACCTATCACCATTGCACCAGTTACTGCATCAATCCATTTCATTTGAGGTTTTCCTTTACTGTGCTATCTGAGCATGATGTCCTCCTCCAAAAACTGGTCGGTCCTTGCCACATGACCTAACTATGTGATATGGATATTAAAAATTCTAGCCTCCAAGGAAAAACTTTGTTTCACCCTCTCCAAAACAGACCTATTTGTTTTATGGCTGTCCATGGTGTGTTCAATACTCTTCTCCAGCACCACAACTCAAAGACATAAGTTTTTCTTCTGTCATCTTTAGTCATCCTTAGTCATTCTCTCACTTTCTGATGCATAGCAGGTAATTGTGAAGATCATGGGAAGATATAATTTTTAAAATTGTTTTTTTAAAGTTTGATTGGGATATGAAAATAATGAAACATGAATGCAGAATAAACTATTCTTTACCATAATGTTTTTTAAGTAATTATTCTTTTTGAGGTAAAAATGTATAACTATTTGTATGTAAACTACTATGGTAACACACCTGTGTGAAATTTTTTTTAATAATATAAAATCATCTTTAAAAAGCTGATGTGCATAGAGATTTAATCTTCAGAAGGTCCCATGCATCAATTTTATCCTCTTTAGATTGTGCATTTCTGGTTGTATTTGACAAGAAGGCAGTTTTGGAACTTCCTCAAAAAGTTGAACATAGAAATTCCATATGACTCAGCACTGAGATTTGTACACCAATGTTCATAGCAGCATTATTCGCCATTGCAAAAACATGGAAACAACCCAAATGTCCAACACAAATGAATGGATTGAGAAATTATGGTAGATTCACAAATTGGAATACTATGCAGCACCCAGGAACAATAACTTTGTAAATTATTACCTAACTTTGGAGAGACTGGACAGCATTATGCTGAGTGAACTGAGTCACAGAAGAATAAATATTGTATAAAATCATTATTGTAGAATGAGTGTAAGCATCCAGGAGGGGTGGGAGAGGCTGGAAGCAGAAGGATGTGGATGTGCAGAGGGAAGGGGAATTAATCATTAGGTTGTATAATTTGATGGGGGCAGTGAGGAAAATTGAAAAAATTTGTTCAAATTTGTATTTGAATTTTGTAAATTAACTAGTAGGAAAAAATGAAAGGCTGAGCTATACAGCTGTAGAATAGAAGCTTTATTTAAAATCTTTCCATTTTTATTGGTTTGCTTAGAAATTTCATATAAATTGTGTTTCACTCTATTCACCATTCATATTGTGTTTCATACAATCATTCTCATGCACTGTATTTTATAAAATTAATCACTATCTAACCTTGCCTATTATTACACTGTCTTTTTACCTGAGTCCTTCTAATTCCCTTCCCCCTCACCCTCCACTCACTGAACTGTACAACCCTATGGTTTTATTTCTACCCATCCTCACTCCTCTGCGCCCATTCTTTCCCCCTTGAGTTCTCATACATGTTTTACTAGTATATTCACACAATGGAATACTATGCAGCACTCAAGAGTAACAATGACAAAAAATACTGCATAACTTGTGAGAGATTCAAAAGCAAGGACAAAAACTGCAAAAGACCATTATTGTAAAAACAGAATGATAACTAATAATAGAAGCTTTTAGTGACTAGTAAAATATTTAGATAAAAAGTATACTGACTTTTCTTAGTACAATTTTTCTGTTGAGCATTATAAGAAATGAATGAGGAAAATCAGTAAATATTAATTATGAGTTTATAGCAAACCACATTGTGCAGAGATTTTTGCAGTAGAAAACCTATAAAATCTAAACATTGATTAATGTTTTGCAACTGACATCAATTTACCAAACAAAATACATAAACAGATACATGGATGTATTTTTTAATCTTTTGGTTATGCATCCATTTTTAACTGTTTTAACCATCTAAAATTGACTCTCAGAGTTCGTTAAAAATAAATTAAATGCTTAGGAGTCCTTATAATGATGATGTGTACATGTATATGCACTGCAACCTATTAAAAGAGTTCAGCTGAAGAATCCTCTAGGATTATAAAGCCCAGTTATTTATGGTTTGGCCTCAGAGATTGCTAACATAATCTGACAGAATATAACAGAGGATATATACCATTGGTTTTTATCTTCAAATTTAAAAAATGCTTTCAGCTTCCAAGTGCACTCTGACAGAGACTCTCTTACAGTATTAACAATATTCAGTGATGATTAACTATTCCTTCTCAGTTATCTCTAAAAACTCAAGAGATGAAAATACAATTGCAAAATATTTAAGTATAATAATAGTCTTAGTGAAATTAATGTGTAATGTCAAGCATTCAGGACCTAATTATGCTAACTAAAATGATACAAAATAATCCTATGTAAGCATGAAAAATGTTTCATTTTACTTATTTATTTAGGTTGATTTTAACTAAGATAGAAGAAAGAATTTGGAATTTTCAGCCAAGCAATATGTTGTTGTTATTGTTGTTAAGTATTGTCAAGTCACCTGTGACTCATAGTGACCATATGCAGAACAACTCTGAAGCCTGCCCTGTACTGAGCCAGTCTAACTGACTCCAATACGCCAACTCCTATCGCCCCAACTACCTGTATAACTTCATCTCTTTAGGGGTCTTCCTTTCCTACTCTGTCCTTCACCCTTCCAAGCATGATGTCCTTCTCCAAGGACTGGTCTCCTGGCCACATGCCCAAAGTGTGTGAGATGTAGCATCAAAATGCTAGTCTCCAAGGAGAAACTTGGTTTCACCCTTTCCAAGACAGACTTATTTATTTTCTTGGTGGTCCATGGTATGTTCAAGACTCTTCTCCAGTATCACATCTAAAAGGCATCAATTCTTCTTCTGTCATCTTTAGTCATTGCCCTGTTCTCTGATGCATAGCAAGTAATTGTGAAGATCATGGTCTGGTCAGATGCACCTTAGTCTCTAGACTGATATCCTTGCTTCTCAGTAGTCTGGAGAGATCACTGAGAGCAGATTTCCAGTGCAAATCGTCTTTTGATTTCCTGAATGCTGGTGCCAGGAGTGTTGATTGTAGTGCCAAGCCAGCTGTAATTATAACAATCTCAATCTCTTCTCCATTTATCAGGGTGTTGCCAATTGGCCCAGTGGTAAGAATCTTTTAAATTAATCATTAATCCTGCAGGGCTCTTTTAATCATTTATTAACATTTTCTGAAAATAAAAATTAATTTTAAAATATGATCAATCAGTATATTGGGAGATAAGAAAGTAAAGTACTACATAGGAAATATGAAGATTTAAGTTTTCAGAAAATAATGATTCTTGAGTAAATCATGGCGGCTTCATGAACAACAGATTGGAATTTTGTGCCTTCCTTAGAGCTCTTTCTGCTCAAGCCCATCATTACAACCAATGTGCCCATCCATTTAATTGAGAGACCTTCCCCAGCATAATGTATTTTTCCAAGAAGTGGTCAAAGTCGGAGTTGAGGGGTAAATGACCAAAAGTGGGAAACGGATGAGTTAAGTTGGGAGGAAATATATTACCTAATGCCAATGTAAGGAAGGTCTCTAAGTGGAGAAACCTGGCCTGAAACGTAATACGTGGATGAGTATGTCTGGCCCAGGAGAAGCCAAATGATTGACTATAATTTTAACAATTGAATGGCTTGAAAAATTAGGATACATTCATATGATGGGATACTATGTAGCGTGCAGAAGCAATGATTTTGTAAATTGCTGCCTAACTTGGGAGGGACTGGAAAGCATTATGCCAAGAGAACTCAGTTATCTTAGTCTCATAAGGAGGCTTAACATAGTACAAAAAGTACTATATGTTTGAAGAACAAACATTTATTTCATAATCCTGGAAATTGGAGTCTTGACCCTGTCAATATTTTCCTTCCAAAGGTGTTGAGAGAGGAACTGTTCCATGCCTTTCTTCTTTTTTCTTGTGGCTCCTGGTAATCTCTGGTATGCCTTCGATTTTTACAGTTATACAAATGGCTTCTTTTTGTGTAATTAATTTTTCTGTTCTCCTTTTTAAAAAATAAGGTACCATTCTGGGATTAGAATTAGTTCTGATTCTTGGTAAAAAGACATCATATTTGAAATGGTAGAGATCTTTAAATTAAAAAAAAAAAAGACACTTACCCAGACGGATTGACACAGTGATCAATGGACTCAATATATCAAAGATAATGAGAATGGCACGGGATAGGGCAAGGTTCAGATTTGTTGTTCATAGGATTCATAGTGTCCCTATGGGTCACAGTTAACATTAACAACTACTTCCCACAAAGGGAACATTAGTGCTTTAGTGGTACGGAATCTCACTGAAAACTCAAAAGCATGCTATTTGTTTTAATCCATTAGTTCTGAAAAGCTCATTAAGTTTCATTTGAGAGTAGATTAGGACTCACAACACATAACAACAACTACTTCACTTCAACCTTATTTAATTGAATTAATATTTATTTGTTTAATAAATGGAAAATTGATAGTAATATTTGCAATGAACATCTCTATTTCTCCCAATAAAGTCATGTTCACAGGAACTGAGAATGGAACTTCCACATGATTTGGAAAGCACAATTTAATCAATAATGCTAACTTTTCATCATCTGGCCTAGCAGGCAAAATCTCTATGCAATCAAGTGTCAAATTTATATGCAGAATTTTGGCCTGTAAGCAGGATTCTAAGTCAGAACAGAAATCTAAAATTTTAATTTCTCACACACAGCCA